AATACAAAGATTTTTTGTTTCCCCGAACGGCAGCACTCCGCGAACTGGTATTTTGCAAAGCTGCATGGAAGATAAATATTTCTCGCAATGGAATATCTCCCAAACCGCGTGTATAATACGTCTGCGGTAGCTTAATGTAACATAGATCAATGGTAGCCTAATATAACTAAGCGTCAGTGGTAGAGTAATATCTAAAGTCTTGTAAATTGTATCTTAATAACAGATCTAAAGTCTTGTAAAGCCTCCATTAAAGACGTTTTAAACATAAAAAATTTCAGAATGTTGAATCAATGCAATAAATTTGGGTAATAAGCTTTATTTGGCTCAAAACTTGGAGAAAAATGGAGGCCTTTTTTTCGCCTTAAATATGTCCTACAGTTCACAAAGTAAGTGAATTTGTCAATCTCACGTTTTTAAACATTTTCAAGGTTTTCTGGAAGGAGGATTTAAGCATTTCGAGAGGCCTTAACCGGTAGTGGCTCGAAATTCAATTCAGAGAAACGAATTAAAGGCGAAGTGGAAGTTCCCTCTCCAATCTCCAGACCCGGACATCCTTGTGGAGAAATTGGAAAAGAGAAGCTGGGGAGGGAGAACGCTGTATAAAGGTTAAAGACACACAAGGGGATACGGAATTGTCGCTTGGAATATCAAAGATGGCCTAAAAGAGGGCGTTGGTTTGCCCTTGTAGCCCTAACGTAAATTCCATTCGGCTATGGGGGAGGAATATTAATAGTGATATAAAACAGAGGAGCTGCTTCATCTGACATCTCCGTGTTTGAACATGTTACACGGATAACTGATTGCCGTGCTTGGTTTATAAAATGATGAACGAGTTCGAGTGCATAATTTTTAAATGAAAAAATATCTTAAATGATTAAAGTTCCGTATTTTTTAAAATGAAAATATATGATAAATCAGCACTTAAAAGTTCGCAAGCATAATTACTTTACATTAGCCCGTTTAGTGATATAATTAGCTAATTTAGTTTAAAGTGTTTATCATAATTTGCTTTACATAAGTTATAGAAGAGTATATTCTTCAAATATATACGAGTCGTTTATTACTTTTATAATAACTATGTAAATTAAAAAAAGTACTGTAAAACGGGATTTATGCAATTTTCAAAACCTTATAATAAAATAATATATCGAATGAAAACTTTTTTTTGAGGAAAATACACGAAAATAGATTTTTACAGCATTATTTTTAAATATTTATATGTATAACATAATATAAGATATTTTGATGCAAATCTTAAATTGTAAACTGAATTATTTTTTTCAAAATAACTTCAGTTTTGAATTGAATTTTAATAATTCTAAATAATTCATATGTAAGCAAATTGTATGTTACGTAGATATCGTATGTCTTATGCAGCTATAGTACGTAATTATCGTAATCGTGGCCATAATATTTGATAGACATAAATAACAATAGCTTTAATTATTTTAAGTAAGAACGAACCTTAACTGTTTGTTTCTAATGAAATGTAATTCATTTATGTAAGAGACTTGTTGTGTTGTGCTTTATCTGGTAATGTTAATTACTTCAAAAACCTTAATAAAGCGAATTATCGCTAGATCTGAAGTAACTACAAAGTCGTGAGAAAGTTTAAATAACCTTTTTATTTAAACAGAAGTTAGATCATAAACGCACGTGCAACAATATCATCCACATCTCGCGGTGATGCAACAAAATAGAGCAGTGAGATTTAAATCGGACATGGAACAGTAGTCAAGGACTACACAATTAAATGCTGCTATAAGCTGGCTTAGTAACTCAACCGGAACGTCAAAACAAAAGTATCCGTAGCGACAGAAGGCAAATCTGAATAATTACAACTATCACAGCTGGCAGGAAAGTAACACGTAGCGTGCACGTGAAGTCAGAAACACGCTCTGTCTTAAAAATCCAAAAATTTAAGTTTAAATACTAGCTAACTCATTTGCATTCTGGTGAGGAAACTGAAAGGAGAAATTAAAATAAAGACCGACATTGTAATAACTGGTTATTTTAAATGATAACCTTGTAAGCTGATATAAATTATTTCAAAAGGTTTTCTGCACTGAAGCTCAGTGAAAATATTCAAAATTTTTAAAAAGTATTAAGAGAGGAAAAATAATGAGAATGAATCATGATATGAAAATGAAGGCAAAATAAATAAATACGTCTTTGAGAACATTTCAATTCAGCAGAATGTTGCGGACATAGTTAAGGGCCAGGAATTCGTTTTTCATCATGTCGCAAACACCTTCAATCAGGCTTAAAAAACAAGTTAAAGGCTGACCTATATATATATGACGACTACTTAATACGATTTTAATTTCTACATATTTGTAATTAAATACCCGTTCGTGTTGGGTATTGCATAATAAAGGGGAAGGATTAAATTTCCTGTGTTACATCAGAGGAGAACTTGTCGATACTCGTCACCTACAAACACAATAGGTGGCTGTTTCTCAACACTTAATCTTTCTGTTTGGTGGTATTGTTTTATAGATTATAAATATTATATTATAAATCATTATTACCGTAAAATTATATTATAAATCCTTATTACCAAGCATATCGTGGATTTCAAACTTCGAATTCTTTTTCACAAATGCACCGAGAAAGGATTTATTTCAATACAATTCCTTGGTTGAAAAAGTTAATTGCAGCCACACGGTATTTTACTATTACAGTGGACGCTCGTTACTTCGAACTCAAAGGTTCTCAGAAAAGAGTTCGAATTATCCGATGTTAAGAGAAAATATAACTTTAAAAGTGTACCACTGAAGATGAAAAATCTCCTAAGTATGTATAATGCCCGGAAAATATATTATACTATCCTATCTAAAGTTAAACATATTGTTACGTTATTGTCTTCCTTCACGTTCGTACGGGGTTCATGTGGATTTGGAGTGAATAACGACGACAGCACTTAATGAAATATCGAAACACACTTTATTGGGCCAATATTAATCAGGACAGCTCCAAAGTCACTTTTACAGTCGTCGAAGATCTACTATAAACACTCGCTGGAACAATCAGCGACACAGACTTCAGGTTATCAGGCTATCACGGTGGAGACAGCTTCATTGCAAAGCACCAGAGTACAGCTTCCGACTCTGCTTGGCCATTCTCAGAACTCCAAGTACTCTCGAGACTCTCCACGCATCAACTCGCGATGCACTCGACACACAGAGCACAGCTCCCGACTCTTCGGTTCAGTCGTTCCCGGAGCTCAACAGGCTCTCTCGACGATGCACTAACCGCGATGCACTAAAAGACTCCTTCGGTGCACTCGATGACCCACTCGGAACTCGTTGGCCGGCTGTCAACACGATCATCTCCGCAGGGATTGACTCGCCAGACGAGACACCAACTCGATACTAACTAACTCGCACTCTAGACGAGGCACTCTCTCTCTCTCGCCCTCTCGACGAGGCACACAAACTAAACTGATTGCGGACCAGCAGGGTGTATATAGCTTTCGGCTTGTGTTTGAGAACATTCTGGGCTAAACCGGTAAGAATTTGTTCCAGAAGGTTCTCCATTCGTCCATGGCATATCGCCCATTTTGTCACCAAATGTGGGAACCCTGCCTTCCCTTGCCATTTTCCCTTGCCCTAAAACTCGCTTTGCCGGGAAGCTATCTTACCGTAACTGTACATTTCATAACAATATTAAAAAGCAATAAAGACTGACCTTAAATCATAAAATGAAGCAGAAGTTATGCAAGTAGAAAGTAAACTTTAACTAAAAATATGAATTACACTTTGAGGAAAAGCTGTATTGAATTTTTGGTTTTGTTTATTATGCCTACATTTTTCAACTAGCTTCTCGAATTGAAGTAAATATTTCAAATCATTTTCAGAGGAAGGCCAAATCTGATTAAATGCTTTCAGAGTTTTTATAGAGTCCATTATGGCTTGATCATTAGGACGCTTAACTGTCTCTGCATTATCTTCTGAGGTCGCTTCTTTTTCATTTTCTCGGATAGTTTTTATTATGTCATCGTCTCTCGGTTTTCCACAGATTTCCATTTCTTCATCTACCCTTACATAATCGGAAAAAGTAACGTTATCACATTTAAATTTTTTGAATTCAAGAAAAGCTGAATTGAATGAAGAAAAGCTTGACAAGGTATTGTTTTTAGTTCCATAGACAGCTGCTAATTTTGTTTTACATTCGCCATTTTCTTTAAAAATTTTATCCAAATCAGAGTTTTGTACTTTCCACGTGTAGACACCCCGAATTTTTACATTATAGTTTATTTTATGAGCAATTAAAATGTTAATCACGCACTTGACCTTTTATTAAATTTAGAATTTACGAGCAGAATGAGAAGAATTCTCAAGAAATGTTTGAGTGTTCCATATTTCAAGGGAAAAAGAATAAACATGTGTAAAACGAGAAGAGTGATTCTTTTATGGTGGAAAAGAAACAGAATATTTAATTAAAACCTTAAAAATGTTAAAACTTCTATAGAGCTGAAGTATTTAATTCTATTAATGTTTCAGTGAAATTTGTTTCCCTCCAAATGGCGGGCACTTGCCTATAACGGTATTGGCCACTACTAAGGCCAAAAGTGGTCGCCATTTTATTGTGGAGGTACCTAGCAGGCGGCCACCGTTAAGCTCCTGTGAAAGGATAGACAATTTTACATCCATGCCTGCTCCGGGATTCGGACCTGGGCCCTTCGGTATCGCAGTCAGGCTCTCCTAAGCACTATACCATCCGAGCGGCTTTAATTGAAACGTTGATTGCGATTAGTTTAGGTACAGGATTTTATAGAGATTGATTTGGGTTTACAATTTTATTATTTCTTACCAATTTTATAAGTAATATAGTATATCTTACTGTCAAAATGTAATTTTCTGAAATATGTAGTTATACTGTCTTTATTATCACTTTTTGAAAAATGTTTTATTTTGCTATATATTAAATATTCCTTTTATTGAATCGATTTTGTAGTCTCGAGTAAATCCCCTTCATGACCTAATTTTCTTTTGTAGGTTCTCCAGTTTACTGTGAGAAAGAAGGAGTTGAGGTTGAAGTTCCTTGGATTTCTACAGATCCATGTATAAGTTGTAAATGTCAAGCTGTAAGTTAGATTTTTTATTTGAAATAATATAATAACTTATGCATGGCCATAAATGCAGCTTTTTAGGCTGATTTGATGCATTTTTTCGATTGTTTTGTTATTAAAACGTTCCTTGATGATAATATGCGAATAGCATTGAAATGTGAATTATAAATTTAAAACCTTTTGATATTTGGGAGCCAGAGTAGATGACGAATCGAATGACCAAAATATTATGTCTGTTTTGGAAATTTCAAAAATCACTTTTGAGAAAAATTTAACAAAAACTGGAATCACCTTATAAATCTATTATAATATATTTAAATTACGTTTGAGGGTTAATCGGGATTTTACTTATTAAAAATAAAAGTAATTGAATTGTTTATTGCAGATTTTCTTAAACTTTGGGCCGTGACCCCCACCTGTAGCAGGGAGTCGACAAAAATTTTAGCGGTTCTCATATTTCTTTAACTTATTGTAATGATCTTACAATTACCAAATATTTTTACACAATGTATCTGAAAATAGATAAAGATAAGACAATACAGACAAAGAAAAACGAAAACGTTTCGACACATTCTTTTTAAAATATAAATGTTCATTTTATTTGCTTTGCATGTGACGCTGTCATTTCGTCTATTGCTTATTTAAAATTTTCACATTGTTCTATGTCTTAAAATTAATGACCTAAAACTGCAATAGTATATTACAGTACAAGTGAAAAAACTGACCGTTTCACACATGGGTGTGTCGGATTTGCGCGATGCTTATGGGGTCCCACAAAATTTAAATATTATGAGGTCCTGGGGGTCGCAAAAAAATCTCAGTGATAAAAATTCTAAGATTCTATTGTGTTCTTTAAAGGGGAGGGTTTTAATGTAAGCTTACTGCTGGTATAGTTTTTTAAACAAGAACTTTCGATATTAAACTGATAACGAAGAAAATGGGATGATGAAAGCAATCTGAGATTTAAAATGGAAAAGGCTTTAAATGGGAAATTTTCAAACGCGTTCTGTTATTCTTCTTCCTCAATTATAACACTTATGTTCGAAATATACATTTGTAACGGAAATTTGATATCCAGTTTTCCTTATTTGGGCTTTGTTTATTTCTTAGCAATGTTTAATAGGAAATAAATTGTTCTTCTGCGTAGGTAGTGCAATTCAATCGAACATACAGCTCTTTTCCGGGGAACGTTCAAGATCACTTTCGCAATTCACTTCTAGGGTTCGCAGATCAGTTTTCCGATGATCAATAGAAATGGGAACGTAAGACATAAATTTATTCCTTTAGCCATTTGTCAACACTCCTTTTCTTAGACTGTAATGGCAGAATTTATTGTTAAGTGATTAATAGCGTCATTAATACTAAACTGAAATCTTAATGGCACTGCCACGCCTTTGGAACAATAAATGAAGTACTCTGCGTATCTTTTGTACATAATGTTAATTCAGAATGTTCAAGAAAGATGTAAATTGATATGCTTCAGGAGTACTGGTAATAGATTTAACCTTTAAGATGTTACGTCATGTTACTGTTTTCTAATCTTTTTGCGTGGGATATACTATAAGCAGAGTTTTTCCAGTGCATTTCATTTAGTTTTCGATTGCAACAGAATTTTTTAACTAATGACCCTATTTTTATTCCTCCTATATTCTAAAACCCTATATTCTAAAATGGTTTTGAATTTCATAATTTTTTAAATTCCAGCGTATTTTAAAAACATATTTAAGGAATATATATTCATTTATATTATATTTGTAAGATACAATAACTGGATAAGGATTTAGGTCACTGACGGCCAGTTTGTAGCACGCAGTCTGCATGCGTCCTGTGGAAAAATTAACATTTTTTCATTGTGATAGTGTCGTCTTTAACCACCAAATTATAAGAAACTTGGCACCGAAATGTTGTAGCAGTACATTGCAATGAATGTGAATGAAACAGATGATCCTTATAATGTGCACTGCGGGGGAAAAAGAGGGGTGGCAGTTCTGTATCTCCCGTTCTACTGAGCCAATTGACGAAATTCAAATTGTGTTTTTCATGTCTCGAAAGCGCGACTTAGAATATGTATCATATTTATATATAGCATTGTTCAAATATAGGTATTTTGACACAAAATCGGACTAGCTGGCCTTTTGTCTTTGCTTGTTTCTTCCAGTTTCATAAGTTTTTGGCAGTAAGCATTTGAGTTCATTGTTTGGTTGCTTGGAAGCTGCTGGAAATACATAACACTTTTGTAATCCCACCGAATGGACAGTATGATCTTTTTCTGATGCAATTTAGCTGTATTGTGCTGTTCATCATCCTTAGACCATAACCTTTTTTAATTAATGTTATTGTAGGCGATCCAATTTTCATCACCAAGATTAATTCATTTGAAGAAAAAGAGTTGATTGCATTATGTTTGAAATGTGTATTGCAAGTATTGATTCGTTAAGTGAATTTCTTTCAATTCATGTGGAACCAAAATATCTAGCTTCTTAAAGAGTCCAAGACATCTTATATGATTTTCAGTGGTTGTCTGTGGTTAATATTCCATAATCGGGGTGAGCGCCAAACTTGGTGAGAGTTTTTTAAATTTTATTTTGCAGTTTGTTTTAAAAAGTTTTACTGTTTGATATTATATGTATATATATATATATATATATATATATATATATATATGTTTAATATTATATTTATATGAATATTTTCAGAAGGTTAAGCTGTTTTTGGTGGAAAAATGTTGGATTTCAGATGACGTGAAGTTATGAATATTTTCATTTAATTTTATTTAGTTAATTATTTTTTTTTAAAGTTTTGTTTCTTGCATGTGGCAATCGAAAGATGTGGAATATTTAAAGTTTTGAACGAAATTTGATGTGGAATATTTAAAGTTTTGAAGTTTTGAACGAAAGGTGTTTAGTGTGTTGTATTCCACGACGTTGTTTTATCATTTATTCAATTTCATTTACTATTCTGTTTGCACATAAGAATCGCTGCTCAACACTGTAAACAAAAATTTGCTATTCTGTTTACGTTTAAAACTCACTTTGCAGTGCTCTTATCTGATAAGTGTATATATTTATTTACTCAATAATTATTTACAAAAATTGTTCATTCTACTATTTTATGATGAATTACATAGATAGGACTATGTTTTTACTTGCAAAGATGTTGAACTTTGTTTTAGTAATCTAGTATTTTATCATCTCATTTTACGGTACTTTTCCTTTTGCCGGCGCAGGCGATAAAGTTGCCAATAATGGTACAACTGATGCCAAACGGAATATCCACTCTGGTAACCTTTTATTACGCCTTATTTCTTTCAATACTGGCATACGATTACATAGAAGTTTTACCAGATAGTTCAATTTTATGCCCTAAGGTCATTCGCGATAATTAAGTCAATTAGGATGGAATCACACCGCTCACCCGAAGGCGAAAATATAGAAAAGCAAAGTCAAGGGTTAAATTCATCAATTCTAATGAGAATGCTCTAGTGAAATAAAGTCTTACATAATTTCCGAGTAAGCTATTCGTGCGAATTGAAATAATTCTTGCATATAAACTTGTATTCCAAACTAAGATGTAACTTTAACTAATATTTAACTTAAAGTCAAATTAAGAAACTAAGATTTAACTTAAAGTTGAGGTGCTACTTTGGTAGACGGTTGCACAAATTTTTGGCGATTTACGTTGGCGCGGTTTTTACAATCGTCAGCCATCTTGAAAAACGCTGTTTTTACGTATATTACGCCTAGTAAAGTATTCGAAACTTATAAAAAAATTAATATCGTTAAAAATAATGGATTATTTTTTTGCTGAAAACGTTGTTTTTTAAGATGGTAGGCAAATGTAAATATATACATTTTCTACGAGTATAAAATAATAAAGTAAGGTTAAATTATTACTTTTATGTAACAAAGAAATAGAATAAAAACATCGTTATATAAACATTGGCCAACGTTTAATTGGATTAAAATATTACTTAAATTGAATATCGAATTAAAAACATCATACCAACGTTTAAAAGAATTAAAATATTACTTAAATTCAAATACTTTAAAATAATTTATATAGGATATAATTATTTAACATTAAAACGTATGTGGCAATAAATATCTCAGAAATTTTTGAAAACAGTCTATTAATTTTTTTAATAAAAATTGAAATATACAATTATAAAGTAAACGAAACATATGATATTACATTTGTTTTGAGTATTTAACCTGTCGTATATTGATAATTGTCACACAAAAAATATCGGAATCATAATTTAGATATCAATGAAAAAAATTTTACGTTAAAAAGAAGGAATGTCTAATACCTTTTTTTACCGTCACAGCGGTTATTTCTTCCACCGTGACCACAATACCATATACGCCGTCCTCAGAATGGGCTTTTTTAACGATCTTCATCTCTGATCGACATCTCTCGCACTTCATTGAAGAAGCAGTTAGAAAGGTTTCCTCCAAAAATTTAAAATAAATTTCCTCTGACCCTTGAACCAATTTATGAATAAATCTTTGATTAGGAAAGCCAGGTTGGCCAAAATAAGGTATCAAAGGACAATTTTTTTATTCCGATACCAATAACTCTTGGTACTGACCAATAACAACATTCATCTTCGAAACGGACATATCCATTCGCTTTGAAATCTAAGGAATTCGAAGAGATGAATAATAAAAGTTTAAAATGGCGCGGTAATCCACAAATATTCAGTAACCAATCAGGGAGCTGATTACATCACGCATAGAATTAAAATTATTTAAATAATCATACATAATAAAATCGTTTTTCAAAAGAAGAAACTGCAAAATTAAATTGTATTTTAATATTTAACAGCCATAAATAATGTTTAAAACATTAGATTAAATTTATAGATATTAAAACCAATTACTTTTAAGTAAGGTGACGTCATTGATTACATCATCCACACAAAAATTATATAAATATCATAAACAATAAAATTTTTATTTCAAATAAAAATGCAAAATTAAATTGATTTTTAATATTTAGAAGCCAAATAATAT